TAGTGAGTGCACAGCTGGGTGGGCATTTGGCTGTTAGCCAAGGCTTATCCACCACCATATTACAAGTCATTAAGTTTTGTCATACTTATATTTGATCATATCATTGTATTAGATTAAATAATTTCACTTCTCAAGAGACCACACTTCTTTGTGCTGTAGGAAGAGTAGAAAGAGTTGCCAGCTCTTCAAAGCTCTGCAACAGACAGCTGAAGTATGTCCTCCCAGTCTTACAATTCACTTCATACTCCATGGAAGACTGAAGGAAAGAGTTTGATTTAGATGCACATTTCTTCCTAACTCTTGATTACCCTGTTAATCTCTTAAACTCATGATAGTTTTATGTTATTCCTATGAAGAGAAGTAATCTCTGTCCAACAGTGGAATTTTATTGTATTTTTGCCAGTGTCCTGTCTGGGATGGTCAAATAAAGGTGCTTTATTGTTAGAAAGATTCAAAACAAACAAATCCTTCTCATGATTGGCTGGTTCACTGGGAAAAAAGAAAAAAAAAAAACCCAAAACAACCCCAAAAACCCCCAAACCAAAACCAAAACCTAAGCTTAACCCTCCCAAAAAAACCCAACATATAATAAAAGTAGACCACTATCAAATCTTGGATGTATGAAGTTGAAAAATCATTGTAAATATGTAAAGCTACAGATGCCAAAAAGATATGGAGGCCAATACAGTATCTGGTCTTGTCCTGGGTTGGCTAGAATAGAGTTAATTTTCACCAGAAGCTGGGATGGGACACAGCCAGGACAGGTGACCCAAACTAGCCAAAGGGGGTATTCCATACCGTGTGACATCATGCTCAGGATAAAAGGGGGGCTAGTCGGCGAGGGGCAGTGTGGCTCCAGGGCGCGTGGCTCGGGGATGGTCTGGCGGGCAGTCTAAGCTGTACGGTCTTTGGGTGAGAAACTGCATTGTGTACCACCAGTTTTGTGTATTCTGTGAAGTACTGTTGTTATTTCCCTCTCCCTTTGCTGTCCCAGTAACCTGTCCTTATCCCAACCCACGAGACTTTGCCTTTGTCTTCCCATTCTCCTCCCCATCCTGCCCGGGGATTTGGGGGGTGAGTGAGCAGCGCCTGGTGCTCAGCTGCTGGATGGGCCTGAACCACGACAGGTCTTTTCTTGATTCAAAAAATAAATGGACACGAAAATCTTAATTTACTATTTATGCATTTTTACAATTGAAAGAGGAGATACTAGAAGACAGGAAGAGAATAGAAAAATGTGCCCAAAACCAGAACAGAGACGCAGTTCTGTCAGAAATTCCTGAATGAGCTTTCTTCTCTCCAGTGCCTGTACTTGGTGGAGTGAAACATTTACAAGCAGTGCAAACTATCTAGATCAGCTGTTGAAAACACAAAACAAAACAAATGCAAGTAAAGTGATCATATTAACAAAGAGAAATAAGATATGAACTCAAGAATATACCTATTAAACATTTTCTTAGTAAAACTTATTACAACTTTTTTGAAAAATGGACTATCGACCTTTTTTTTCTTTTTTCCCCAGTTAGTCACCTATCATGGAAATATTTTTTTTTCTAACCTTTTGTTCACAGCTGTATCTTGTGGGAACCCTGGCACCCCCGCCAATGGTATGATAATATACACTGATGGAATATTATTCTCCAGCTCAGTCATTTATGCCTGCTGGGAAGGTTACAAAACTTCAGGACTAACTACTAGACATTGTACTGCTAATGGGACATGGACTGGCACTGCTCCAGACTGCACAGGTCAGAAATAAACTTTCTTCCTCTAAGGCTTTAAAGTAGTAACTCATCCAGCCTTCCTACTGAAAATGATTATTTTGTTAGATAAAATAGCGCTTTTTTTCCCCCCACTCATGTGTCTTGTAATACATGAATATTTTATGTATCTAAAGATACATGCCCTTTTAATACATGCTAGATGTTTCCAGAACTATCTTTTTACTATGGACACATAGGTAACTTTTCTGTATTTGTTTACCTCATAAATGTCAAAATTAAAAATATAACACTATTCCTAAGATCCTAAGAACAGGTGTTCCTCTAGAGTTTCCTTTAGCTTTTTCTTTTTTTCTTTTTTTTTTTTTTTTGGGGGGGGGTAGTGGTGGTGACATGTGCAGAGGATGAAGTTCTAGTAGTTCTAAATCAAATTTTACCTAATTGGATACATTACTGTGTCAGTTTTTATTGTGAGCCAAAGGAGTCAGATCTGACCGATAGCCATTCTGGTAAGGACCAAAAGTCAGGGAGCAGCGAGATTGGGCTACTCCATCAGGGAAAGAAAGTGGAGAGCAGAAGGGTGCTGCAAAGCCAGCAGGGCAATGGCCCCAGTGATAAGACCAGAGCCACAGTACGTCAGTACAGTGATATCAAAAAAAAAAGAGGAATTTCATAATTCTGCTGGAATTGCGTTGCACCATCAACATTAGGCATAATGTGATAAAGATCCCAGTATGACAGAAGGAAAAGTCCTGTCAAAACTATCACTAACATAACAGTCTGTCACAGCAAAAGAGCATACAAGCTTAAGCTAGTGTATTTAAGGAACACAATATTTGGCCCAAGCTATTGCAATGCCTTAAAAATATGACTTTTTAGCTAGAAAGTAAAGATTACATTTTTTATTTTTGTAAAATATATTGATCAATTTTTTTCTTGCTTTATACACTAAAAAAAAAGGACATTAGCTATACATAGTTCAATGTTTAATTACATGTTTATTGGGAAAAAAAAATCCCTTTTTTCTTTTCCTCACTAGTGATCAGCTGTGGAGATCCAGGTGCATTAGCAAATGGCATTCAGTTCGGGAATGATTTTACCTTCAATAAAACAGTCAGCTATCAGTGCAATCCAGGATACTTGATGGAGCCTGCCAGTTCATCTACCATGCGTTGTATAAAAGACAGTACTTGGAACCAGAGTAAACCAATTTGCAAAGGTGTGCTTTTGAACTTACATAGTTTACAAATACTGTTTTAATACTATATGTGAAATTCACTACTAAATGTCTTTATATATAAAAAAAATATCAAAACATTTTCTGAGGCAATTCGCATGCAAATGCAACTAAAACATTTAGATAAGTATTTGTGTAAAATTTGTATTTATTTTGCACGTATGCTGTGGTATAATATCAGGCAGAATAGCGACATTAAAGACTACAGTAAAACCAAATCATTCTGCAATTAAGATTGTCAGAGTGCTCAGTTTGAAATGCTGGGAATGAAGTACCCATTTTTCTTTTTGGGCCCTTTTATCTTGGATTAGATGGCCAAAATTCTGTAAAGGGATCCTGCAAACCAAACTTTCTATGAAAGATTCTCTTGTTGCAGTAGTGTAGTCATCCTAAATAGCCAAAAAGATGCTTCACAAATAGTTAATTACAAGTGCTAACATAAGGGTCATAGTGGGGATGAGGCTGAAAGGGAAATAAAGTAGCCTGGTGAAAATTGTTAGCACTACTACAGCAGCTCAGGGAGTAAATTTAATAGCCTAGGGCATCTTCTGCTTATAAAAGGCCTAGACTGCCAACTCATCTAACACTGCTTTAAAGTGATGTCTAAATTTAGCCTACTAATTAAATTTTGGCATATGTATTCAACTGACCGCATTTTCTGTTGTAAAAATCACTGACTGAGTGACTTTATGGTTGTGCTCTTTGTTGAAAGAACTGATGTGTAAATGTAAAGATTTTATCGTTTTGGGCACTCTTTCAGAAGCTGGAAAACATCAGAATATTTTTAAAGAGTCTTAGCCAGTGATTACCAATAAAGTCAATGTCCATTGTGTGCTGAAAGCCTAAGAAAAGAGTGGGTGAATGAACAAAATCATATTAAGGGCTTTAAATAGTGCTGCAAAATTACTTTAAAATAAAATGCAAATATTTAGAATCATAGAAACTTATTAATTGAAATAAATCATACTTATTGAAAATTTTTACCTAGCTCAGTAGCCTGTGGCCAAAAATGATCAGTAATGAATATGTCGGGAAGAGATTCAGAACTAGGTAAACTGTATACTCTTCTAGCTTCCAGCAACCTAGAGCTCAGGGACTTCCTAAACCTAGAGGTGGTATCTTTGTATTTAAATTGGTTTTCTGTCTCTTACAGGCTGCTTTGTCAACACAGAAATTGTTTTTTGGAACTGAACAGCGAGAAATATTTTTTTGTTTGTTTCAAAATATGAGTAGATATTATGTTGCATTCTCCTAAAGCCTATAAAGTCTTGAAATTATAACTTTTCTTTTTTGTGACACAGCTATTACCTGTGGCCCCCCTCCACCAGTACTCTACGGGAAAGTAGAAGGATCTGATTATCGCTGGGGTGCCAGCGTGAGTTACAGCTGCGCAGAAGGCTATCAGCTATCTAACACAGCTATTCTCTCCTGTGAGGGTCGAGGAATTTGGCGGGGAGACATCCCACAATGTTTGCGTAAGTTTCCAGGGTACAGTTGTGTTGGGCTTCACCAAAGCTACAATCAGTTGTCTCGGGCCACAGTCAGTTTCTCACAGTTTAAAAAGGACTCAGCTAGATCAGGTAATATATGGACTACTGCAGGATTCTTCCTCCTTCTTCCAAAAAGCATACCTTGTCATGAAATTGAGTGGTTGTGTCCATTTAAGGTCATGGTCTTCTTCCTTTCCCCAAAAGTCACCTCCATCTCGTATTGCCTAATTGGACCCATCACCATTTGCCTTACTGATAATCTTTTTGAATCTTCTGAATTTGACTTGTAGTAAGCATGATTAAAATTTTCCCTTACACTTTTCCTTTTTTTCTTCCCTGTCTCCATTTCTCTGAACAGGTGAAAACAAGGATCCTAACCCTTAAGCTCATAGCCTTTCTAAATTCTTTTTTTTTTTCCTGAAGGCGAGTACCTACCCTCATATTTTGTTTGTATTTGTTTTTCAGCTGCTTCTAAATCTGTCAACTCATCTCTTTCAGTGCTTGAAATCTTGTCAGGACTCTGACAAACATTTTTCCTTTTTCTTAATTAGGCAAAAATTTCCAGTCTATTCATCTGAGGGTGACTGATGTGAAAACTTGATACATTTTGAAGCATTACAATGTAGTGTTGTCTACTTTGAGATTACTTTGTCATCCAAATCTAATCAGCATTTAAGTGTCTCAATTAAAAGGTCTATTTTCCAGGTTAATTTTTATGCTTATAATAACTATAACAGTGACAATTAATTTTAAATTGCTGTCAAGAATTTATCTAAGCTACAATCCTACACAGATAAATGAACATAGCATTTGCACTTATATTCAGTGTGCCTGACTTGCACATAAAGCAATGCAAATACTTCAGTTGAAGCAAGTGTAGTTTTTAATAATTTTTTTCTTCTTTCCCTTTTTATACATTAGCTGTGTTTTGTGGTGATCCTGGTACTCCAGCAGAAGGACGCCTCAATGGGAAAAGTTTCACCTACAGATCTGAAGTTAGCTTTCAGTGCAGACCCCCTTTTATTCTGATAGGCTCTTCAAGACGATTCTGTCAAGCAGATGGTACTTGGAGTGGAATTCAGCCAACATGTATTGGTAATAACTACCACTACTTATGCTACTATTTAGGCTGTTTCTACTGAGAATATTCTTGATAAACTATTACACTATCATAAATCTAGCAATTAGCTTTCCAAATATAGAAAACGTCTATGTAATATAAAAAGAACTAGATAAATAAGGTTGTATTTTGAGTATAAAAATTTTAGGATAAACACAATCACATATGAAGTAATTTGTAAATTTACGTGATTGCTTGTCTGGTGGAAATGCAGAATGTCAGTAAGTACAAGCGCATAAATTTGTTCCATCTATTTTTAGAATCTTTTAGATACGCAGAAGAGTTTGGCAGATTAAAGGCCAGATTCTGTCACTGGAGAGTTAAAGGCGTTTGTCAGAATCAATCCTAAATCAAAAAGCTTTTTGGACTTTATGAAGGTGGCTTGTACAGCTCAAAAGGATGAAGCGAGCTGGGTCTGATCTTTTGAAATTCTGATAAACTGCCAAGTATTATCAGTTTCTCATTGACTGATGTGCAACTGATAGGCTTTTAGCATGTTACATAACCAGACTAACAGAGAAATGCTGGACACTTGTCACTCCCACTGACATCAGCATTTGATCCAACTTCAGGTGACTTGCTAGAGAAAATGATTCTGGTGTTATAATAAAAAAATCCTCTTTGATATTTCTAAACAAACACATTCAGATATAGACTGTAACCCATTTATATATTTTGATGTGGCAGAGATATTGGCTATGTGGAAGAGCTGGACTGGGCATTCTGGGAAAAGGTAGCATGCCTGGTTGTTGAAAGCAGCCTCTATTTGTAAATTAAAACATTAACATTCAATACAATTTTTTATATGAATTGAAAACTCCTCTGACCATAGTTTTTATGAAATGGGCAATCCATCTTACATCTATGTTTTGTTACAGAGGCAAGAAGGTTTACAAAAGCTAAATCTCAGGTCTATTGTGAAGAATCAAATTTGAAAATGTCATACTGAAATTTCTATTTCTATTTTACATAGCGTAATATAGAAGTACCTGGAACATACTGCATCAAACATAAGCTTTTCTTTTACATCACAGTTTTTATGTTATTGTAAAAGGAAAATATTAGACCATACAAAATATTTACAGATAGCATTGTTGAGCAATTTGAAAATTAGGAACAGTGAACAATACATAGAACTATGCCTTGAAGTACCATATGATGGCAAATGATGGCAAGCTTCTCTATTTCTGGATATTGATAATTTCCTTAAAATACTTTAAGAAGTCTTCCTTTTTTCCCCACTGTTTCTTTGTATGAGGAATATCTTAAAAAGTCAATTCAGCTTCATGTGTCTATTATTAGCAATGGCATTCCAGCTGATGATAATTTGTGAAAAGTTCTTGAGCTGTTCAAGCAGCTCAAGGTTAGGAGTGTGCTTGGATTTTATTCTTGCACGTTAGGTCAACATCCACCTAACTTTTGAAGCCTTTGGTAAATATCAGTCCATTTTAATTTTCATGCTCTACTGGTGGTCAATACTGAAAATGGAAGTTGCCTGAGAGTGAAATGACATATCACATTATTGTATGTGTAAGTTCAGTTTTACCTCCACAGAAAACTAAAAATGGTTACAGATGAAATATATTCCCAAGATGCATTCTTTGTAATGCAGTGTCAGCACAAAAGCAGACTTGGTTGCCAAGAGGGAATCACACGGTACAAAAAGATTCATTGGATCAAGTCATTTGCTGGCTACCCAGTGGATGTGACTCGGCAACCCAAAGCATATACACCATCAGAATGTGAAGTGGACATTGCTGAATCAAAAATAGTTTCAGGCTGCTTTAAGTTACATTCATGACACTGATCACCATATAATTAGCTATACTCTGGCATACCTTGTTTTGGGGGACTGTCTTTTCATTCTCCAGCAATGACTGAGGTAGTAGTCCATTGGAAACTTTTATTTTCCTGGTGACAGAAAAAAATGTGTCAAAAATTAAGTATTTTACTCATTATAAGAAAGTCTACACTGCCAAAGATACCTGCAAAAATACTCTTAAATAATTGCAATGTACTGAAACAAAGCACTGTGATCTATCTTGGAAATTTAATTGGAAATACAAATGTAATATATGTAAATACACACATTCCATTAAAAATTCAATTCTTGTCGTCACTAGACATTGATGAAATGACTTAATCTTTGCAAACAGTTTTAGAGTACTATTTCCATACGATAATAATATCTATCGTGTTTCACATTTTACGTTAGATCCAGCTCACAATACATGTACAGACCCTGGTACTCCACATTTTGGAATACAAAACAGTTCCAGAGGTTATGAGGTAATTCTTTCCTTTATTTACCAGCTTTCTAAAAATGAAGATGCATTTAATAATTACAAATATATTAAATTATCTCTAGGCTTAAATGTCTGGTGTAAACCTTAGGAAATTTTCACTCCTTTTTAATAAAAACACATGCTTCATTCCAAGCATTTTTTTAACATACAGCTTAAAGAAAGAACTTCTAACCTTGCAATATATCATGTGTTCAATCCTTTAGGAGACTTCAGCAGGGAGGACTATTTATAAATTGATTATCTAATATGATATGACATGATATAATTGCTTTGCTTTATGATCATAATTCTTTCATACATTGATGAATAGTCAGTAAATATGTAACAACCCAAGACCTGTCTGATCCAAAGGCCATGTAGTCCTTGACAAAAAAGCCAGCAAGTGGCTTTACTAAATTAGCAATTCATGTTATATTTTATTCAGTCAGGGAAGATAAAATTATTCTACATGTTGGATCCAGGTTCTCTGTGATGAATATCCTTTCTATAATTTCCAAATTTCTCACAGGTTATTAGTTTACCAAGTGACAGTCAGAAAAGTGACTGAGGAAATAAAAGTAGATGAAACAATGACCAATCCACAGTCATGATATAGATTGATTAACCTCATGTGGATAGATTCTTCATGTATAAATATTTGTGATTGGAATGTAAAATAAGTTCTGTTTGGGTTTCCTGCCTTTTTCTGTACCTAGGGCAGTGTGCCACGTGGCATTACGATCAAGTCAGTAGGACTGTTTTTTAAAAAAATCCTTTCTGTAAGTTGCTCTGGTTATTGGTACCCTCCTTCTCCTGCAATTGTGCTGTCTGTCATTGTTGTGGCTGTCAGCTCTTTTCTTCACCTTCTGCTCCTGCCTGGCTTACAGATGCCAAGGCACTTCTCCCATAGCCACATCTTGTGGCCTCATCTCTAAGATGGTTCTTCTTCTAGTAAAAGGTGCAGATGTGCCTTTCTGTCTGTTCTCTCATCTTGACCCTGTACCTGCCCCCATCATCACTTCAAAAACAACTCTAATCTTTGCACCTAATTTGATTAGGGAGTTGGGTTTTTTCTCTCCCCCTTTTACCTGCCTCACAAGTTGTCTTTAATACCAGAATTGTACTTGCTAATTCACTGTTCTAATGTCTCTTGAACAAGAAGGCTAATTTTCTCTTCACATTCACCTCTAGAGGCAATAGTAGGTCTTCATCTGTTCTGTATTTAGTCAAGTATGTGTGTGCTGGGTTGACCCTGGCTGGACGCTAGGAACTCGCCAAAGCCGCTCTGTCACTCCCCTCCTCAGCTGGACAGGGGAGAGAAAATATGATGAAAGGCTCATGGGTTGGGATAAGGACAGGGAGAGATCACTCACAAATTACCATCACTGGCAAAACAAACTAAACTCGGGGAAATTAGTTTAATTTATTACCAGTCAAATCAGAATAGGGTAATAAGAAAATAAAAAGAAGTCTTAAAACACCTTCCCCCCCCCCACCCCTCCCTTCTTCCTGGGCTCAACTTTACTCCCAGTTTTCTCTCCCTCCTCCCCTCAGCAGCACAGGGGAATGGGGAACGGGGGTTGTGGTCAGTTCATCACACGTTGTCTCTGCTGTTCCTTCCTCCTCACAGGGAGGACTCCTCACAGTCTTCCCCTGCTCCAGCGTGGGGTCCCTCCCACGGGAGACAGTCCTCCACCAACTTCTCCAACATGAGTCCCTCCCACGGGCTGCAATTCTTCATGAGCTGCTAAAGTGTGGGTCCCCCATGGGGTCACAAGTTCTCCAGCAAACCTGCTCCAGCGTGGGCTTCTCTCTCCATGGGGCCACAGGTCCTGCCAGGAGCCTGCTCCAGTGTGGACTTCCACAGGGTCACAGCCTCCTTCGGGCATCCACCTGCTCTGGCGTGGGGTCCTCCATGGGCTGCAGGCAAATATGTGCTCCACCATCAACCTCCATGGGCTGCAGGGGGACAGCCTGCCTCACCATGGTCTTCTCCATGGGCTTCAGGGGAATCTCTGCTCTGGTGCCTGGAGCACCTCCTCCCTCTCCTTCTTCACTGACCTTGGTGTCTGCACAGTTGTTCCTCTCACATATTCTCACTCCTTTGTCTGGCTGCTGCAGTTGTTGTTGCACAGCAACTTTCCCCCCTTCTTAACTACATTATCCCTGAGGTGTTACCACCATTGCCGATAGGCTCAGCCTTGGCCAGTAGCAGGTCCATCTTGGAGCCAGCTAGCATTGGCTCTATTGCACACAGGGGAAGCTTCTAGCAGCTTCTCACAGAAGCCATCCTTGTAGCCCCCCGATACCAAAAGCTTGCCATGCAAACTCAATATAATGTACTTTCACTCACAGATCACTGTCTGGCACAACAGGATGTAGACTTCTAATTACTAGTGAAGTAGATTTTTTTTTTTTTGCATACATGATTAGTAGGGCTTCCTGTTTGTGTGGCTTAGTCAAGCTTATATAAATCAGCTTTTAACAGTCTTTCCTCATTACAGAAAGGTGTGACGACAGGCAACAGACCTTTGAAGGGTCTAGTGTATCTACCAGCATCCTGTCTTGCCCCATTCATTTTGTGCCTTTTGTGCTTCACTGAGCTGTGACTGTTACAAATGTCTCCAATGTTTTTCATCCAAGTGTTATACAAAGAGTACAATGCTTTTATTTTTACTTTTACCTGTAAAATGAGAAAGAAATATATCTCTGTAACTGCCTTGAACCTAGACATTTTTTTGCTTTGTATTTTGAATCGGTGAGGAAATATTTGCAGCTTGTCATTACTTACTGATACCAGAATTGGCAATTTCTTAAGAACCAAGATGACTTAGCATCAAGACCAGCTACACTCTGTTCTAGTGTCTACTACAGACATGCTGTGTGTCCTTGGCAAGATAGAGAGATGAATATATTTAAAAATAGTTACAACTAGATAAGTCTACAAAGCCATATCAGTAATTTGACCTTTAAAAATACTAGTGAATTTCCCAAACCACTTCAGGAAGAACTGGTGTTGCATTTACTGAACATCTATCATGGTAATCTCTTTTTATGTAACTGAGTATATAGTTAACAGGTAGGCACTTTTGAAGATAACGACCCATTTTTACTGTCCATTGAAGTCCTATGAAATTTGTAGTGTAAAGCTATCTGCATTTATATACCTGCAAGCTATTTTATTAATATGCATTGATCACTACTCATTTGCAACTTAATTTCATTTGTCCATGTGATATATTACTTTATAAGTCATATAATTTCAAATAGTATTCATTTTTGTGGGTTTTTTTTTTTTTCATTTAATCCAATCATATTTATTGCCAAGATGTTTTATCCAAAACGAAATTAGTGCTTTACTGATCAGGCCTGCATCCTTAAAAACCTTGGCTTGGAGTTGTATTCTGGTTACTTTTCTCAATACCATCAATAAGTCCATTTTACTAGAACTTTCCACACAATCTCTCTCTTGTATATTATGAAATTCTTCATCACTTGCTATTTTGTATCCAGTTTTCATGCTTTACTATTCTCAGAGGAAGTCTAAAGAGAGTTTTCTCGGTTACTTTACCTTTTCTTCTGAGAAAGGTCATATCACAGTTGTCCATAGGAATGCTTTCCATAACATCACTCTGCTAGTTGAACATCTCAAGCAAAACTTAGGTAGCTTATAGTAGCAAATGCAGTGTAAGGAATTGTGGCATGGAGTTTTCTCTAGTGAATTTATTTGTAGATGGAATATTTCATAGTTTTTCTTTTTCCTTTTTCCTCTTAAAACATATTTTTAGTAAAGTCACATAATGAGAAACCATTGAAACAGACTTTACAGTCAAGTTCTATTGAAACATATGCAGTGACATACAGGAAAGAGAGACATCTCAGTCATTTAGTTTCTTTCTGTCACACTGACAAACTAATAAGCTGAAATTTATGAGTGTCATTATTTTCCATGTGCACAGCCTTGTCAATATTTTTCCACTTACTGCTTTCAAATAAGTTTACAAAAGATCAATTGCTCAAACTTTTCATCTCATTAAAAAAAAAGTTTAGCTCTAGGAACTGTAAAAAGAGGACATTTTTATTTTTGAAATAATCTCTCTAGTACCTTATCACTGTTTTGATATCTGACTACACATGATGGATACCTCTTTTATCTAACATTCTGTTTTGATCCTTAGGTTGGGAGCACAGTCTTTTTCAGATGCAGAAAAGGTTATCATATTCAAGGATCTACCACCCGTTCTTGTCTTGCTAACTTAACTTGGAGTGGCATACAGTCTGAATGCATTCGTAAGTCTGGTTTATTATCTAATGAGTTAGAATATCTTACAATTTAAAAACAGTTACAAAGTGATGCATGGGGAAATTCATAGTAAATGCTATGCTACAAAAAAAGTAAACTTTATTTAAACCAGTATTTTTAAATATTTTTTGTTTCCTATTCTAAGACCAATGATGTATTTGGGATATTAATTTGAAGTAAGATTTTTCAGATTTTTTTTTCCATGAAGTTCACAATAATTCTATCAGTTTTACTCAGAAAAGTCTGTCCTCATTAACCCACTGCATTAGATGCTTTACATTGATCTAGAGGTTTGTATATATTGGATTAATAGAGAACAGTAAGTGACCTGAAATATGCATGGGGCTATTTTGTTGGCTAGTATTTTGTGGATCATAAACTAGAACGCAACAAAATTCATCTTTTCTGAGTTATACATGAGTATTCAAATGTTAGTGTATTTATAGCTCTGTATGAGTTGGAGGACATCAAATAACTATTGTATTAAAATACACTGATCAAAGGCAAAAATAATTTATTAGAATGATCTTAGTTTCTTATCCTATTTCAAATTATCTTTGGGTTGATATAAATGAACACCATGGAGCACAGAGAAAGAAGCATACTGAGCAACCATATCTGTTATAGTCAATGTACTATGACAAAGCCTTCCTATGGAACCTTTATTTCAATTGAAATTTATAATGAACTTATTTAGCAAAATAACTGCTCTGTAATTTTCAAGGCTCTTTAAAACACTGAGTGGAAGCGATGCTTGAAGCTGTGACAGTACAATAATTCACAGGCCCAATCATTGCACCATGTACAATGGCATGTTCTTCTCTTCATTTTAACTCTTTTCTCTTTGCTATCATGATTTCATTTTGGTGTATTGTTTAAAAATATGTGATAGTATCATTTCCATCTTCCCACAATAATATAGCTATACACTCAAAGTGTTACTTTTACAAGTAATAGCTACTTGACATTTCTAAAAGGTGTACAAAGTTTATATAATGAAAGAACAAGTTGGCATGCATTTATTTCAAATTATGTACTCTAATCCTATGGAAACTGTTTATCATCACTTTTTCTAACTCCAAAAAACCCTTTGCAGCTCATGCTTGCAGGCAGCCAGAGACACCGGCACATGTAGATGTGAAAGCAATAGATCTTCCTACTTTAGGGTATACTTTGGTGTATACCTGTCAGCCAGGATTTTTTCTTGCTGGTGGATCAGAGCATCGGACATGTAAACCGGATATGAAATGGACAGGAAAATCACCTATTTGTAAAAGTAAGTCGTTACTCAAATGATATGTTGGGCCCTACTTGGTTGGATTTTTTTTTTCCCTGACTTTTTTTTTTATATAGTAGGATTAATTTTTTCCACTTACTGTTTAAAAACGCATACAACACAACAGCTTTTACTTTATGAAAGAAACAGTAAAAAAATCAAAATGAGCATAGCATCTAGAATGCATGGAGGAAAACATGGGGATATGTGTGTGTAAATGCACAGGCACACATATATAAGTTTACCCCTAACAACAGCAAACAAAACTTAAACAATATAAAGTGTTACTTTTAACTGTATTTATCTTTATGTCACAGTTTCAAAGAGTATTTCAATGTATTCAGTATTTAATATATGATTTTCTACTAGGAACAAAAAAGTTATTTCATAACTTGGCTTTTAGATTCATTCAGGTATGCTTTTTGTTAAAGAAAGTCTTCTAAAATAAAAATGAACAATAAGAAAAAATATGCCTTTTTGCACCAGATACCACTTTTATTTATATCCATTTAAATTTCATATATTTTTGCTAGAGTAGCTCTAAGTACATAGTTATGAGGGTTAAATTTCTCTTCACGTGTGAAGAAACATGTCTATAATTTCCCAATTCAGAAAAATAAAACAAAAGTATATTTAGAATATCAATAAAGGAAAAATAGTCAGAAGCCATGGGAAAGATGTTTGCAACATGATTTTTAATTCTAATATGTCAAAGAATGCTAAATAGATTTGACATTTGAACAATATTTGATTTTTTTTCATTAATGGATGAGTAGACTTCTTTGTTTCAAAATTGTCAAGACATAAAAATTTATCTTCACATTCTAGTTCCCTAATGGGTGATTTTTCATGGGTACTATATAAGCAATAACTTGACATAAATGATATGATTTTTGTTAATTTTCTTTATTTTTTTTAAATGGAAGGTAAAATACAGATAAAGTTTCTATAATCAAGATTTTTTATTTTTTTTATCAGCTTACAGTCTTTAGGTATAATTCTCCTTCAGTGCCCGACACTTTTTTGTGCTTTCTTAGCACTTGATCAGTCTAATCAGTGGATTTCTGCTACTAAAGAAAAAAACCTAAAACATGCAAGACTAAATCTTCCTACGGGACATTAGCCTTTTTAAAGTGGCTAATGATATGAGGCCAGACCTTGATCTAGGGTCAATGGACATAACTCTGCTGAGGGTACCAGAAATATAGCGAATGACATCGGTTGTGATCCTTTCCCATGCTATCTGATCCTGTCATCTTAATCCAGCTATCTGGCTTTTGCTGGTTTGTGTCATAAATATATCAATCTTTATTAACAAAATTTTTACTATATTTAATATACTATTATTCGTAATTAGATACAGTATTTGTCCCCTCTATAAGGCTCTCTTTTATAGCACCGGGACTGATATAAAAATTTTAGGCCTAAATGTATGAAATACTTGGCTAGCCAGACAGCTTTCCACAGTAAAAATTTTGTTTACCTAAATTATTTTCTTATAGTTTTGTGTAAGTGTATAGGTTTGAACATGTAAAGTATTCAAGACCAGCTATTTCTGTTTTAAATATGGCTCTATTAGGTAAGAGATGATTGCATCCATCAGGCATTGTTTTAACATTCTATTTAAACAAAAAACCACAAATATGTTCATGAAAATGATAATTTGTCTTTTTACTTGTAGGTAAAGGAGTGAGAGAAGTTAATGAAACAATAACTAAAACTCCAGGTTTGTATACAAGAAGAGTTTTAGATCTAAATAAATTAAATTGATTTACACCCTAGATTGTTATGGATAATAAAACTATTTCCAATATTTAACTATTTATTACTCATTTCAAAGGAATATAAATGTTCAGGTCTTTCATAATAACAGGTGCCATGTAAAACCTATTATATGTAATTCTTTCCCAAACAACATTTTCTGAATTTCTACAGTACCAATTTTGTGAATTGCACAAAAAAACCCCAACCTGTCAAGCCGAAAAGATAAAGCATATATATACACAAACCCCAGATTTGAAGTAGTTTTATATCAGACAGATTGCTATAATGGAGAGCCTTATAATGAGTGTAGACTATAATTGCGGGGATTAGATTCAGTCAAAATGCAAGTGGTATAAGAAACCATAAAAAAACCCCAAAAACCCCCAGTTTTGGAAATTCTAGTGGCCTTCATTTCATGGAAACTCTCCAGGTACTCTAAGATAGGTTTTCACAAACTGTGTGGACCACCAGCAGCAGGTAAACATTACTGCTGCCTTTCTATGCCTTCTCATGAATATGTGTGCAGTTAACCTTTTCCTCCTGCCAGTGACAAAACAGACAAATACACATGTTTTTTTCTGAGAAATCCTTTATGTAGATCTTCGTAGATTCATTGATTTTCAGAAAATGAAAGACCTATTTTTTTAACTAACTTATTTAAAAATGAAGAGAGTTTTCACCAAATAAATGAGCTTGCAACTCCATATTCTGAATTTTAGCAAGCTGCAGGGAAAATAAGATTAATGGTTCACACTCATGGCAGTTCACAGAAGGACTCTGTAGAGTAGATGGGATAAAAAGGTATTTCTGCTAATAAGTAACGTTCCTGGTGAGTTTATTAGTGAGAGTGTCAGGTGAAACCATAAATGAGTTCTTCTCAAATGCATTACTTCTACAGACTCACAATAAAGCAGGATATCGTGCACATTCATTATAATTAACATAGAGTCTTAAATTATTGGAGGATTCACCTTACCAAACACCTAAGGTATACATTAATCTGCTACCACACAGGTTTTGAAGTTTCAATGCTAAATTAAAATATAGACCAAGTCTCCAAATATATTCAATATGCAGAGCATCATATCAATTCACAACACATCACATCCCTTATAACTAGTTTTGATAAGTAAGTACTATTTGAAAGACATTTTTTAAAAAAATGAAATGTTATGATTTAAAATCATAGAATCATAGAATCGTTTTAGTTGGAAAAGACCTTTAAGATCATCAAGTCCACCCATTAACCTCACACTGCCAAGTCCAACCACTAAACCATGTCCCTAAGCACCACATCCACACGTCTTTTAAATACCTCCAGGGATGGTGACTCAACCACTTCCCTGGGCAGCCTGTTCCAGTGATTGATAACCCTATTGATTAAGAATTTTTTTTTCTAATATCCAATCTAAAATGCCAATAATGGTAAGCAGAAAACTGAAACTGTAACAAATGACAGTAATTAACAAGGAAACGTTTTAAGCTGGTTTTAAAAATCAAGTCTGCACTATTTTTATGTCTTTTAAAATTGTGAATTCTCTTTAGTATAGAACACAGTGTATTTTGGAGCATTTTCTTTACCTTGTTTTCTTGGCTTTTTGTAGAATTCCATTTGCCGCTCTGTATTTTAAATGAGATGAAGCTAATATTGCTAAACTAGAGTTTTTGTAACAGAATAGATTCATGTTCTGATTTCGCACCTTTGGATATATAAATACAAATTATGTTTATTATTCTTTATTTAATTGGTATTTTTTTGCCACAGTTAGTGTTTTCACAAGCAATAGTAACTATCATTTTTACAGTACTGTAAATTTTAATTGATTATAAATTGCAACTAAAGAATTCTCACAATACCCATGTGAAATTTAAGAACTACAAGACTCTGTTTGGTTCCCATAGTTCTCACTGCTTTGTATAGTCTTTGCAAAAATAGTTCAGAAGCTGTTTTAGTGAGTAACCATGGATTTCCCCATTTGTCATGTTCTGAGGAGAATCCACAGTTGGTGCAGTATTAGTATAAAAATACCCAGTTCATTTCTCTCATTCTGCATTTGCCCACAGTGGGTGGGAAAGGCAGGGACATTGCAAGGGCTCAGCAGAACTGGGTCAGAGCCACTGCAGCATCTGCATTTTAACCTTTTACAAAAACATGACTGGGGAAGCAGAAATATATTTTGCTATTTTCTTCCCCCACTGATTCTGTTCATTTGCAGCAAGTGCAAATTCTGTAAATATTGAGTCAATGGTATTATTTTGCAAAGATTAACAGCTATTATTGACAGTTAAAGTGGTTAGAGAAACTAGGTACTGAAGATGTTGAATGTGACAAAAGAAGTATGGTATCTGCTCTTTTATAAAAGTCTTGCATAGTACCTGTCAGGTTCTTACCAGTAATTCCAGATGTTCACCTTCATCAGAATAACTTCAGACACATACTTTTAATTAAAAGCAAAGACAAAAATAATTTTAACATATTTAAAAAATGCAGGTTTCAAATTTACTGTTCATCACTATTATAGCAAAGCAATGAGAAATGTAGGAAAAAGAGTCTGAAAGACCCTTTACAGAATTTATATATTTGCAGAAAATATATGAATTCTAAGGACTGTGAGATACCAATTGAAATTTAATGCTTCAGATTTTTAATATTAAATTGAAGTTACCTTGTGTTAAGCCCCAGTCCTGCACTGAGTTTTGCTTTGGAAAGGAAGCATTTAAGATTCTTTGAAGGTGGTGTACTCAAACTCATATATTGGGTTTCCACTCACTTGGAATCCAGTGGTGGTACAAACATGCTAATGATGTTTTCAAATCATGACACATAGAGCTTGAACGTTTGCTTGTGGCTTTTGCATAATTTGAAGACAAAAGGCACTGAAGAAGTTGTTATCCTTCCTCTTTATGAAATGCATACTAGGAAGTGTAATAATATGATCAATCAGTCATCAGATTTTCAGATGTAGCGCTTATGAGTATGATTTGTTGGAAATATATGGTAGTATTGACCTGGGTTTCTTTTGATTCATTTTTGCAATCAGTGATTAGGTGGAGGAGGAAATATCTATGGAATTTATTCAAAATGGATACAGAGGATACCTACACTGATAAATTTCCTTCAGTGTAGACAAGTGCCTTTATATGTTTATGGTTCGATAAAATACAAAAAATCCAATAATTTATTTTAAGAGTTTAATTAGAAGAGTGTGAAACACTTCTAATATCAGTCTGTAGCTATTTAGCAAGTATCATTTGTAGTGGTCATGGATAGTAAGGGTGAATCTTAATAGTTGCTAGGGCTGTCGTTTTTGTCAAGATATCATGTGATTGGTTAAACAGTTCTTTTTATGAAGTTTTATTTTCATTCTTAAAGCTATACTTCTCAAATTGTAATGCTAGAAAAAGCTTAGAACTAAGTGGAAAAATGTCTATTTTCACTTGTCAGGAGCTGCCAGGAAACACTGGGTGCTGCCTGGGCAGGAGGAGCATTGGTCTCTTTCGGCCAACTTAACTGTTTAACTTAACCGTCATGTTTGAAGGAAGTCTTCCCCAGATTTTATAACAGCAAAGTATATGGGAGAAATACATATAACAGCAAAGTATATGGCAGAAATATAGCGATGTGTAGAGGAGAAATAAATGCTCAAGACATGTGGCACCCTGTAAATGTATCTCCTAACAATTTCTTTCTCTTCTGTGTTTGCTTTTTAATTAATGTTACTATTGCAGACACTGTTGAATAAGATATTTTTTCTACTCTGTTGGTAATTTAGCAAAATATTTATAATACTAAGGTTTAATGACCTGTAAATAATTTATTTGTTCTGTATAGAGGAAAAATAACAATAGCATCAAATAAATGACCCAAATACATATAATTCTTCCTATAATTCATGCTTCATTTTATAGGTTTTTTTACTTCAGATTATTCAAACTGCAGTTTCTGAGAAACAGACCTTTATTTTAAACAAAAAAGTTCCGTGCTCTGGCAACTTAACTGTTCACAAGTTCAGTAATATTGTATGGAGAGAATACATGGAGTCTAAAAATGACTGATAAAAAAAAAAGCTAAACTGTATCTGGAATTCAGTGAATTCAGTTGAATATTCAGTTGATATTCAGTTGAAAATCACACACAGTGCTGCTTTAATAGATTCATGAAACAAAAGGGATGGCCTAAGACAATGTATCCTTCCAGGAATCCCTGAACTTAGAATATTAATCTCCTTTTTTTCATCATACCTTAAAGCTACCAGGCTTTCGGGGAAGAGTCCATATTTTTTCATAGTCTTGGGGACATTCACTGAAGCACACAAGCTATGAAGTGTGAGGTTATTTAAGAGCATATATCGTAATGGACAGGTGTAGTATATTATAGGCAATTGTGTGGAAAGGTCATTAGATATATTGTCTTTACTGTTGTAAAATTTTTACTATAATACCTCCTTAGAACAGTGGATTGATGCTGTAACAGAAAAAATGAAGAACAAAAGTATGGCAAGAAAGATTGCTACTTTGTTGTAGTTTACTCCTTTCTTTGTTTCTTTTTTCCTGCTTTTATTTAGTTCCCTCAGATGTGTTTTTTATAAATTCACTGTGGAAAGGGTTTTATGAATATTTAGGAAAAAGACAGCCTGCTACTCTGACTGTTGATTGGTTCAATACTACAAGCAGCAAAGTAAATGCCACATTCATTGAGGCTTCCAACATACAACTCAAACTATCAGGTAGGTTCAGAATTTGGTGTTAAAAAAAGTGGGTTTAAATTTTTTTTCATCTATTCAGTTTTGTTGTATTTTTCTGCCAAACACAAAATTAAATAAAATTTTTTTCACTAAAAATCTTTTTCTGCTTATTTTGCAAAAAGAAAAGTCCTAATGTAATGGTTTGCACAGATTTCAGTTAATTTATATGTGGTTACATTTTAATTATTTTTTCCCTTAAATTTCAAATAAATATTGATGTAGCGTTTTTCATCTTGGACTTTTGGATAATATTGATGTGTTGAACATACAGGTAGTACTTAAATGGTAGAGGAAGTGTATATAGGCATTTTAAGAACTGCACCATTGAAAAGCTCCATTACTCAATAGTGATTAATATCTGCTTTATAGCAGTTACATACAATGGAGGACATCAACACCACTGTCCTCCATTTCTTTCCTGTGTTTTAAGTACATAGGCCAGACGTGTCCATCAAAAAGACCCAATGGGTCTTGATAATGGCATAACATAAAATAGGCACAGATAATTAAATAACTGAGTAAATTATGCATATCTTTTAATCAGCATTGTGCATTCCTTTCTGCAAATCTGACTATGAAGTTCTGGTTTAGCTTCTGATCACAGTTATATTTCAAAAGAGCATTATGAGTATCTATTAAGGTCAAGAGTTCAGAGAGAATTTCAGTAGTTGACTGCCAAATAGCAACTTTTCTTTCACTGCACTATCAATATTGCAATAGCACTATGCTGTTGTGATGTGAGTAAAATCAATTTTTTTTCCAGTTCAAGGAAATTCCAGGCAAGGAATTCTATCTATATTCAGAATTATGGAAATACTGTTAGAAGAGACAAATGTTCTTGCCCATTTGTTTATAAAATTAAACCGTACAAAACCATGTTTGCATCCTGTTATCAAATATGATGTGGGCAAAAGATCAGTAAAATAAGATCCTGTTATTATAGCACTTTAAATCTTGTATTTTTCTAGGTTATAAAATTCTGTTATTGTATAATGTTTTCTACTAAATATTTTAAAGCAATATACTTAGCTTTGTAAGCATATTTGAACAAAATGGTTGAAAAATTGTTTAAAAGGCATGTGTTACCTCCTTTATTGTAATAGGAGTTTACAAGAAAGAAGAAGCCCATTTGCTCTTGAAAGTTTTTCAGATTAAAGGACCTAGTGACATTTTTGTAAGCAAGTTTGAAAACGACAACTGGGCTCTAGATGGTTATGTAAGTAAACAGACTGCTATGGATAAAGCTTGCTTAGTTTAAAATTTGAGGTAATTTGTGTTTTCCTGTATAACTCTATCCAAATGTTTATGTTACAAATATGGAATACAGAACTCTAGATGTCAGAGTAGAGATCACATTATTTTTCTTTTCAAAAAAATGTATACAAACTTCTATCTATCTATCTGCCACACTCCCATTAGAATTTTTACTAAGGGGAAGGTGGAGTGAATCAGCATATTTTGCCTTATTTTTGTTGTGTTTTCTTAGATGAGAATGGGTATTTTACCTTTAGAAATACTGTCCTTTATTTGGTTTGGTAAATAGTTCACTGTAATAAAATTACATTTAATCATGAAGAAAAAGAGAATTATTTTACTCTTTGCAGTTCTCTGCATCTCGTGATGCATTCTACGGAAAATAATTTAAAATCTGACAAGTCGGTGGACTTCTATATCTGTAGACTAATTCAATTATGTGTATGCCAGTTGAAGAATTTTAAAACCCGGCAATATACATCAGCTAATTTAAAGTCATTCCAGGTGTTATTTTGAAACTTTGTTTAATACTGTTGCAAACTTAAACTGATAAATATTGTATAAGCATAGAGAGTTCACTAATATTTTAAAGGATAAAAGTTAAAATCTGGGCTCCATATATCTACTCCAAGACATAAAAACTAATGGCTAAACATTTTTATTTATTTGTTTCAGAAATCTTTTTTCTGTTTCAACATATTCTAGGTATCATCAGGGCTTGAAAGAGGTGTTTTTACTTATCAAGGTGATATACATGGAAAAGACTTTGGAAAATTTATGCTCCAAAGACAAGGTAAATGCATTCATAGAGCTTTAACTTACATAATCCTTTTTGGTCTTGCAAGAGTGAATTCAACAAAGGACTCAGCTATCTAGCTGAAGTAAGCATCTTTATTTCATGCCATTGCTATTATAAAAAATACAGCAAAATATGCATATTTGAAATGTACAGTTCAAATTCCAGTTTAACTCTGCTTAATAAGTTACTATCACATGTTTTCTAGTGTAGCAACCTAATAAGATGACTATAGGATGCTCTTAAATAGAATGTCTTTGCAACTGCTTGCTTTTTTGTGAATGTCTTTTTGAAAGTAACAGGAGTGTCATGCAATGCAAAGACATTTTCTGCTCAAACGTATAAATTGCAGTCAGAATCACATAGGAAATTAAAAGGACACAACACTGATTTTAAGAGTGTCATTTGGAGAGTGCTTGTTGCTGAGGGATGTTTTCAGAATGTGCATATATTTAGATAAAATTCTGTTTCACTGTCAAAAAATATGAAATGAGTGACTGAGATATATGTTACAGCTATGGACTCGAGTGCGCAAGCAGTTGGTGAAAAACTAGTTATTTTACTCATAATATTGTCATAAAAAACAATAAAATATTTATCCATGAAATAGTTACTCATAAAATAGTTTTGACAAATACCAAGTGTAGATATTTGCATTTCTTAATCCTGGACCTGCTGCAGAGTGGTCGAAGCACGGTATGTATACAGCAAAGTACTAGGCTAGGAGGGGGAGACAGAAGATATCTATAGCAGACTGTATCTACATTTTATACATTGCCTTGGTTCCATTAACTTCATTTGTGCTGTACCCAATGCCCTTTAAAGTTCTGACAAATCTCCCTTGTATTTCTTTGCTCTATTAACTGCTGTAATAGCAGTTATCCTATGGATACTTGGCCACCTCTCAAGTTGCTGTATATGTTTAATCACAAGGGGCGTAAACCTTACTCTTCAGAGTCTCAGTCTAAGATTTGCCAATTACTGAAGCTGAATACAATTTCAGTCTTCAGTTTAAACTCTTGTGTGAGACAGATTATTTGGCTGCCTGTACTTTCATATAATCCTTATCTGTAATATCTAAACTAATTTTTCTTTCTGATTTTAACAAGCACACTGTAGAAGTAGAGCATCAGGATTTGTTCAAACATATGTCCTCTTTAGTAGCCTTTGATATCTCAAAACAGTGAGAGTATGTTTTTGGGGGGTTTTTTGGGGGGAGTGTGTGTGGTTTTGTGGGTTTTTTTCTTAAGCCAGACCGAAAAAGATATCCATTGTTTGCCAGCTACCTAATAGAAGGTTGGATCCATGTGTTTTACCAGTGAAATGAGTAACTCATGAAGGGTAAGGATAAATGAAGAACAAGCAGAATGACAACCCAACAGTTACAGCATTCTCCAGTGGATGTATTCTGTGGTTGTTGTAAACATTGTCCATATCCATATTGACCATTTAGAGTTACAGTAGTAGATCTCAGTTTGTATATTCCCAAGGCTAGTAAGGAGCCAAAGTGTCCAAGTTACATATGCATTCCTAGGCTGAGGGCCTCTTGTCTTCAGCTTTGACATCTCATCAGAGAGTTTGCTACAAATGCAGATACGGTCTCTTTTAGAAGATTTCTTTGTGTGATTGCTAAATAGGCACTGATTTTCTATAGGTTGCTTGTTCTCTGTTGAAGAACTTACAGCTAAAAGGAAGCAGAAAATTTCCAGCCAACACAGGTCATAATATTTGTCCATACGTTCTCACATTCAAGGATAACTTGCTTTGCTTTTTAAATCTATTCTGTTCATGAATATTCTGCTGGGGTAATGATCTCATATGTCCTCCAGCTGAAGACTTAACATATTTTCATTTCTTCAGGAAGTTAAATTATTTGCTGCCTTTACACTAAGACAGAAGTATGCATAAACTATGCATGCACGGGTGCATACATAATGTAATATGAAATTCTTCACCTGCAAGCATACTTCAAAGAACAGCTTTTACTGAGAAGTACTCGGTTAAGCGTGAAAGACCAATCTATTTGATGAAGAATTCCCTGTCACACAATACCAGAGACAGACCAGGCTCGGTGGATATGCCCAGTCTTGGAACTTAATGACATGAAAACAGAAAGAACTTTTGGGTTTAAGTACTGTTTATCCTCTTTCAGAAGCAATTCTGTTTGCTAGTAGCCTTAGAGAATAACCCAAATAGAAGAGAGATCTCTGTTATCAGTCTGCCAAAAGAATTAAAACTGTATCTGAGCCTGCTTAAGGGGCCCAAGTTGTGACACCGAATTATGTAGCCTGTTTTGTCACGTAATCAGTCATTGCTGGGGGCTTTTTGTTTGTTTTATGTTTTAATAACTTGGTCTCTAAAGGCTGCGAGTCTGCAGCTAGGTTCAGTTTCTGTAATTGCTAAATGCCTGTGCCTCACCACTACAGTTCTAGAAGATGCTTATTATAAAATCTTGGCCTTGTTCATTCCAACCCAGACTGTCCTTTTAAATTGTATGAAAAGGTGGCTTTGTGAGAAAAGAAACTTACTTCACCAAATTATTATTTTCCTATATTTATTTCTTCTGGGGATATACAATGACCCACCTCTCTCTCTTTTTTTTTTTTTCTTCAAAGTACTTTTTTAGGTTGTCTTTAGGTCTAGATTGAGATAAATATTGACAAGAAATATGAAATATGAATAATTGTGTTACATCTGTGATATATTAGATCAATAGCTGTGAAATACATGTTCATTTCTTGAAATTGATCAACTCTTAAAAGCGTTGAACATCACAAGACATGTGAATTTTAAATTTCATTCTATAAAGGTGTCACCCTTCCTATCCAGATAATTTTGCACAACTTTTGTCATTCATGAAGAAACTCTACATCTAAACAGGATACTCACAGCTTCAGAGTACAAAATGGCTGTGTTAGGTAATGCACAAATAGATAGCAAAGACTAATGAGCTATGAGGCTATATATTAATACACTCCTCACACCCAATGAGAAGCTCAAAGAGTCTTTGCTATCCAGCAGTTATCAGTCAGGGGAAGAAGGTTCAACCTCTGTTGGTCCTTGGAAGCTGCTGACTTGTTTTCTGTGTCAGTATTTTTTCTCTTAAATCCTTGAGCTGCTAACCATCCTTGTCTCAAAAATTACTCTTCTACCTGTAATTCTACTTTTCATATCTTGCATGGTTTTTTCTGTCACACTTTCTCCCACTTCACCAGCAGTTCTCTTAGTAAAACTGAGCCATGCTGTAGTGATGCCAGACAGTTGAAACACTGGGCTAGGACTTAAAGAGAAAATGCATTTGAAAGCTTCAAACAATGATAAGGAAATGCTCTTAATTAGTATTTTCTTACAAAAAGTATTGTTTTCTAGTATGTATAACGGAGGAAACTCAGTTACCATCTGAAGGGTAGAAGTACACAGCTTGTGCAATAATGACCTCACTGTTTATTTTCAGAATTTGAACTTCATCTGACTGTTGATTAAATAACATGTTCCCCAGTGACAAAGTACGGCTTTTTTATTGAAAAGTAAACCTAAAAATATATTGCATTCTGTTGTTTGTTGGTTCTTTGTTTTGTTGTGTTTTTTGGTTTTTTTTTTTTTTTTCTATTAGCATGCAGATGTTTCCACTTTTCTGGTCCTAACTGTGGTAGCAATCAATACCTAAACTAGAGCAGTACAATAGGCTTTCTCATTTCTCATCATGACAATGCTGTCAGAAGTAATGCAAAGTTCACATCAGGATATGTTTAATCACAAACAGCTCTGAAAATAATTGTAATAAGTAGACCAGACTGTGTTGAAGTTATATTGAGTCTGATACGTGAATAAATTTCAAGTTATTCAAAACTGCAGCAAAGTTTCTCTTCCATAATGAAAAGCACACCCAATGCACAGTCTGAACCTGGTCAACACTTCTCCAATGCCAATTAAAGGTTGTAAGCTTCAGTTAAAAATTTCCAGCTTGGTTACCCTAAATGTGGTACTTTAAAAACTGTGGCGATATAGAATATTCAGTTACCTCCAATAGGAGTTCTGAGTACTAAGTTTTAAATGTAAGTCAGTTATCAAACAGAAATAACTTAAAAAGAAATTATCTAAATGTAAAATTGTGCCTAGTTTTAAATGTTCAGTTGCACAAAAAAAAAGGTATTTTTTTAAAAAATTCAATACCAAAATTTCATACCAAGAATTGCTCATTATGAATTGCAAACTACTGTTTTATTTTAGCTAAATTCTGATTAGATATTTTATAATTTTTCTACTACTTATACATTAGAATTTAACTACCATATGTGCCATGATAACAGCTTTGAGATATAAGTTAAGAGTTCCGTGATCATACATATTTCTGTTTGTTTTGGTACTTGGTTAGAATTTTAAATAAGCTAGAATATTAATTCCAGGTTTTTGCTGATATAAGCTTACTACAATGAATTTGATCATTACTCTATTTTTTATTAATTACTCCAAATAATTGGAAAAACAGCTAGGGATTGTGATAGGAAAGGATGGAGACAGTCATAACTGCATGCAGTTTTTCAAACTTCTATCAATTTTTCTAACCAATAAAAAATTCAAAGGGGCATTTAAAGTAACATTTCTTAAACTTTTCTTAACTGTGCTAACTACTTGATTCTATCTGTCTTTAATTTAGATTGGTTGGACAATATCCAGTACCTGTGCAATACAATACAAATACATAAAATTATGCCACCAGGCCATCCACACCTTGAGTGTTGGGACAAATATTGGATTACTCAAGTCCAAAGATTTTTATAATAAACTAGTTCTACTCTAAACCAGTTCAATGTTAATTACAGTACTCCATAGTAGTGTGATAAAGCTCATGATCCCAGCTACTACAGTAGTAGGTTTATTAATTTGGAAAGGTTTGTCTTCACCAGTTCTGCAGAGAAATATACAGATGTCTGAAATGTGACGGAAGATTAAGGCAGTGAAAAATGTTGAAGTACAGTATTTTGTCATGTTTTAGTGATCAAATCTGGCAATTGCGAAATTGCTAGGGGGGCTGTCTTCATTTTAAAGGGAACTGAATTACTTCCTAGAATTTAAGACGTTTTGTAAAATGAATTGTATTTAATACATTTTGTAAAATGAATTGTGCAAAATGTATTATAATATTAGCAATAGAAACATCTAAGTTTTGAAAATATCTAACAGAACAAAAACTTACCTCATTCCTATTTTGCATTGAGGTTGAACTGAAATAAATCATAGGAGAATTGTTTGCTTCTTTCTCAGTTTTACAACTTAGGTATTTTAGTAGACGGCTGAAAGCAAAGCAATGGCTGTGTCTCTTCTATATTACTGGTCTGCGCCAGAGTCCTAAAAAGACTGACTGATGCTGTTGCCATCAATGAGGGAATCGTGGTGTATGAGGCAGTGTGTACTGGTGGGTTGGAGCATTTCTGAGTGGTAAACACCAGTGTCTTTTATTATTCTCTACTAGCATCAGCAAAAATATCCCAGAACAGCAAGCCCAGCCGAGCAGAACCATGGTGGTTTATTGCAGTTACCTCAGTTCTCTCTTCGTTTTTCATGTCAGAGGTGGTCTTGCATTGCTTGTTGTTTCTCAGCTGAATAGTAAGGCTGCAAGCATAGAATATTTTTTTAGTATTAACAATTTTTTTTGGTAGACGGTAAATAGCTTAATTTTATTAAATTAGTGACTCATGAGAGGTGTAGTTCATAATTATTTTTCTTTCTGAATACTGTTTTCAAATAATTTTGGTAGCTATTGATACATTATTAAGTGTGTCGTGGTTTTACCCCAGCCAGCAGCTGAGCACCATGCAGCCGCTCGTTCACTCCCCCCCATCAGGATGGGGAAGAGAATTGGAAGAGTTAAAGTGAGAAAACTCGTGGGTTGAGATAAAGACAGTTTAATAGGTAAAGCAAAAGCCGCACGCACAAGCAAAGCAAAGCAAGGAATTCATTCACCACTTCCCATGGGCAGGCAGGTGTTCAGCCATCTCCAGGAAAGCAGGGCTCTGTCACACGTAACGGTTACTTGGGAAGACAAACGCCATTGCTCCAAATGCCGCCCCCCCCTTCTCTCTTCCCCCAAGCTCCTTATAAACTGAGCATGACGTCATATGGTATGGAATATCCCTTTGGTCAGTTTGGGTCACCTGTCCTGTCTGTGTCTCCTCCCAACTTCTTGTGCACCCCCAGCCATCCCACTGGCAGGGCAGTGCAAGAAGCAGAAAAGGCCTTGGCCTCGTGTAAACACTGCTCAACAATAAGTCCATAGAACAAAAACATCTCTATATTATCAATGCTGTCTCCAGCACAAATCCAAAACATATCCCCACACTAGCTACTATGAAGAAAATCAATCCTCTCAGCTGAAACCAGGACAAAGTGGCATTAACAAGATTTATACTATGATACTGCATGCTATTTATTTAATGTTTTTAAATAGAATTATTTTATCAAGACACCATTTTCTTTCATTCTTGCATAAAAAAAGAACTGTGAGAGAAAACCTGGGAATTTTATTTCTGCTCTTTTTGTTTCTTTTCAGGTCCTTTAAGTGCTGACACAGACCTTTCAAATCACTATTATGGTACAAACAGCAGTTCTGTTGCAGCTGCCATCCTGGTACCATTCTTTGCTCTAATATTGTCAGGGTTTGCATTTTACCTCTACAAACACAGGTATTGTAAATGTTGTTCATTCAGTAAATTAATAAGCTTTTTATTTTAATTTTGATAGGTAAATGTAACTAAAGAACACAATGTTAAAGCTTTCAAGAATATCTTTACTCTAGAAAGACATATATTTCTAAGTATTCCCACAAAGGGGTTCAGGGCAGGGCAGTTCTTAATGGTGAACAATTTGAAAAATGAGTCACTGTGTTAAAGGAGCAAAGACCTATAAACCTTCTTGGTTCGTTAGGCTGAATCAGATTGAAATCTCAGGTCACATGTTTTATTCTTTCATTTTAATGCTTTATTAAATTGAATGTATGCTGCTTCTTTCAAAATGCTTATGAGTTTTAATTATACAAGCTGAAAAATCCATAAATCCCACAAGGGAACAGCCCATAATAAGAATACTTACAGTACATGCTGAATAAGCTAGTGGGTACTACTAGAATTGGCATCACTTCTGCTCATATGAAACTTTTATATGTCATTAGATAGTACAATAAATCCAACCATCTTGTCCGAAATTTGGTTTAAAAGCTGATATCTATGTATTCTGAGTGCTATTTGGCTTGAGCTTTCTGGAACAATTCTAATTTTTTTTATATTCAGCTACAATACTCTCTGACCTCCTTGTGTTATTTGCAGTTTGCAAAATGGCATTTAACAAAAATGCTGATTTTTAATAACATGCTCTTAAGACTTTTGTTCTATAACCATGATACCAAGAGTATTTCGTTACTGTAAGAAATCACATAGAAGTCCACCATGGCCCTGTGATGGACTGGACTGTCTACCTACCTCAGCATGAGATGATTTGGGAAAAAGAAATTACAGTGGTGCTTGAACTTGTGAACTCCAGTTAAAATGATACATGTCCTGAAACATAATATAGCCTTTCATTGAAAAAACTGCTCAGGAAGAGCTGCGAACTCTATCTCAGAACATGTTGTTGTAGGGTGCCTTTCTGATGCCTACAGATCTGCATTCTCAGAGAGCTCCTGTTCTGCAATGGGGGGAACCTAAACAGCAGCGTGAAAGCACAGGCATTCAGATCGGGTGAAGAGATGGAATGTAAAGGGAACATTGCTGTCACTTTGCTCTTAGAAAGAGGAGGCAAACTCTAAGAAAAATATAATAAAATTATTGTGACATAGGGGTACATTTTGTGGTTTATTCTATGAACTTCGTTATGTTCTACATGAGCAGTGGAAATTCTGTTTTCTATTTAATATAAATATATATATATTT